ACAGTCCTGGTCTTCCACGTACCTAACCTACAGACACCGCTGCACTTTCTGAGGTAGGTCTCCTGTAGAAACTGTTTTCATGCCAAACTAATACACCATTCTCCTGGTTCTGATATGCTCTTGGTAAAGATACAGCGGCTGATTTGTCAGATAATTTTTTTTCATACGTTGTTCAGAATCGGTGATTTAGATATCCGACGTCAGCATTCCGAGATAATTGTCGTTCTTACTGCATGTTCGAACGCCCAGAGAAGCTCATTTATTATCACAGTCACGCTTGCATGCAGACTGCTACTCGTACACATTAGCTCACACATAAGCAGAGGGTGGACAATCGTTGTCCTCGAATCGGCGGAAAACTGATTCCAACCCTATGACAACTTGACTACGTTAGCTGTATGACATGAATAGCTCGTACTCATGATTTCATTTCGCAGTATGTGCTGCGAAGAGTCGTACTGGTCCCCGCACTATAATTGCTTCACCAGCAATGACATCAAACCTAGGAACATGCATAACCACTAATCAAATCCAGCAGAATGGTATGGGCTTCCTCTAAGATACTAGTTAGCGCCTCCGTTCCGTCGATACCATCCTAAGGCTAGTCAAATCCTTCTCCACTCCTCTGCCCCCTGCTCCGGGCTGGACGGACAGCTTTATCCCATGCGGGAAGCTCCAGTAGGAGCAGGCCCGTAGCCGGGTGCGGTGAGTGTCAGGGGGCTTGGTCGCCTGTCCATCGTACGGGTTCAACACCGACGACTCACTAGAGTGTCCGCTTAGACCAATCTCTCCCCCTAATTCCAAGTATCCTTTCCATCTCTGAAACGGTTACGTCAGACTGAAGAGCCTAACTCAACGAAACAAACAAACAAAGGTAGCTAGCAGGAAGTGTCACTGTTTACAGCTTCATCAGCTTTTCTCCTGAACAGTGTCACGATGATCACGATGCATGAGACCCAATCATGCCTTGCCTCATGCTGCTTTCACTGGAGTTGAAACGAAAGTGCTGAACGCAAAGCCACACTGCATCAACAATGCCTGCATTGATGTCCGTGAGACGTTGCGACGTCAGTCGGGGGCCATCAGGCTCTGGATGAAGGCGCCCCAGCTCTCAGGCTCAGAGAGGGACAGGCTCGACTCGAATCGGTTCCTGCTTCGCTTCAGAGCCATAAAGTCGATACTCCCGGACTGTGGCAAGTTTATGTAGATAGGATCGCTCCGTGGCAGTTCAGCACCTCTGAAAGTCGATCCCTCTTCAGTGTCACTCACAGACTGGGCAGAGTTGCTGCCAAAGCTGCTTCCCAGGACGGCGAACCTCTCATTCAACACGCTGATAAGTTCTTGGCTGAAGTCGCAGTCGCAGTCAACTTCCACACCACCGGCTGCCTCAGCCCCGCCCTCGGCGCCACCCACTTCTTCATGTTGCAGCATCTGGACATCAGCTTCAATCACCTCCTCTACCACCGCAGCGGCCATGATTTCATCCGATTCCATCGTTTCACTTCTTGAAAGCTGTCCCTCGCCGTATCCGGACGAGGTAGGCGTACTGCTGTTGGTCGAGCTGATGTCCTCACTCGCCGCGCTGGCGGCGGCTCTCTGGCTGCCGTCAGCACGCTCTGAAACCTGCTGGCCAGGCGATGGTAGAGCCGTCTCTCCCACAGAAGGCGTGGAGGATGAGGGCCTGGACTGCCGCCCAGAGATCCCCAACCGGTTGTAGCCAGAAATTAGCGTCATGAGGTCCGCGCCGATCTGTTCTCGAACCGTGTCAAACACGAATCTCCGATTGTGATGGCACGGTCGGTTGATAATGAACTTGTGGCCATTGACGTTGATGGTGTGCATGTTCGGCCAGGACAGCCATATTTTCGGCGTCAGTTTGACCTCGTAGACGCCGACTCCGTGGGCAGTGACCCCGAGCCAGACGTGGTCGCCGCGCTCCGTGGTCACATCGAAGTACGTCACGCCGTACCCGTCCAGCCCCTGCGCCAGCTGAAAGTACTTGGTCAGCGCCTCGCGTTGTGAGGTCCCGGTCAGCCTTCTGTGCAGGCACGCCACCTTCATCTGCCAGGCGGCGTGCGCCTCGCCGGTGAGCGAGCACCGGTGTTCCTGCGGCCCGACCACGGTGGGCGGTTGGACGCTGTCCTGGTAGTGCGTGTGGCGGCAGTGGTCGCTGTAGTCGCCAAACTGCACCTGGGCGGCATAGGCGGCCAGCTGGGCGGCCGTGCTGAATGGGCAGGACAGCTCACCGCTCCCGATGGCTGCCTGCAGCTGTCGGAAGAGCAGCGCCAGCGCCTGCTCGTCGGTCACGTGAGCCGGCACGTCACTCGGCCAGAAGCGCACCATGAACCGAAAGTGCAGCGGCGACTCCTTGCGAAAACGGCGGCCGCCTAGGATCTCGCTGGCGCGTAGCCACGTGTGCGTGCCTTTGCGGTCGAGGAACTGCAGCCCGAAGAGATGCGTCATGTTCAGCCCCAGTAGGCCAGCCACCTTGTTCAATAGCTGCTGGCCAGTGGTCTTCCTCTTCACCACGAAGCTGAGCGGGTGGGAGCAGGTCTCCACCAGCACTTCCAGCTGCGCCATGGTGAGGCGCTAGGGTCGGTGGTCAGTCAGACTCGGTGTCACGGGGCTCAACACCAGGCGACAGGACACGGTCTTCAACACCAGGCGACAGGGCACTGTCTTCAACACCAGGCGACAGGGCACGGTCTTCAACACCAGGCGACATGACACTGTTTTCAACACCAGGCGACAGGGCACGGTCTTCAACACCAGGCGACAGGGCTTGGTCTCCAACACCAGGCGACAGGACACGGTCTCCAACACCAGGCGACAGGACACGGTCTCCAACACCAGGCGACAGGACACGGTCTCCAACACCAGGCGACAGGACACTGGTACCGTGCTGGGTCTCGTGCTGACTGCCACTGACTGGCGTCCGCTCCGCGCGTCTCGACATTAAGTCGGACACTGCAGTCTCAGATAGCCGGAGCGATAACTAGGGTGCGTTCGGAGAGCGCGGAATATTCCCCGTCATCGTGAAAATTCCCCGTGTTGCGTTCGGAGAGGGACATTCCATACCGCCAATTTCAAGGATCGCCGCTACTGCGCCAAGTTGAGTTCGTGGGATTTTGTTTGGGTTATTTGGGTTATTTGGTTACCTATTTGGAACGCTACATCTATGGCAAGATGTAATAAGAATGAAGCTCTTGAAGAAAGAACAACTAAGAAAAATCACAATTATTTTCAAAATGTCCCATCTGTACTGTGCCTCCCCCCCCCCACCCCAAACACACACAACACAACACTTCAAATTATCGTTTTCATGCTTCAGAGGACAATCACACAACTAAGTAAGCATTATCAATTGTTGGATTTGCAATAAAACTGATCAGGGTGGAAACAAACGCAAGAAATATCCATTTATATTCAATAATATACTCACTCGAGCATACCGATGGGCGCCGCCATCTTGACGGGAACGACGCGTGAGATGCTTTTTAGATTCCGCGCTTTCCGCGTTCGTTCCGCGGAACGTTCCCCGGGAATCGCTCTCCGAACGGCACATTCGGCGGAAATTTCATGCCGGCGTGGAATATTCCCCGGGAATCTGCCTCTCCGAACGCACCCCTAGTTAGGGCTGACGCGGCTCGGGCTGACTCATTCGTGCGGTGGGGAGGTGTATGCCTGGGGAAGGGAAGGAGCAGGGATTATTGGCGCTATCATTGCAACAGCTATTACGTTTTCTCTTTGTATTGGGCTAAGTCGCTCTCTTACTGGGGCCATCATCGTCGCCCACCAAAGTCTTCCAGATCCGCCGATGGACAGCAAGGTGACCTAATGTAGCGGCGCAACTCAGATAATGGAGTAGCACCGCTGAAACCACCTCTAATTTCCTTTTCTGAAAGAGCGAATCGTGTACTTCACCTGCGAACTTCATCTAATGCAGCGGTCGGCAAATAGGGGGCATGCCACTTTGGGGGTAATGGAGCCCTTCGGCGGAGGGAAATGGGGGTCTCTGAGAAAATCCCATCTCCTAGATGTTAGAATCACTGGCTCCCTTGATGGGTCAGAACTCAGACATCGCGACGGTTTCGCCCAAGGTTAATGATAATTGATAAGTCCAGGCCAAACGCACACAATAGGCATGAATAGTATTCCTACATAATTGTTGTTCTTACTGCATGATCGAACGACCAGAGAAGGCCATTTATTATCACAGTCACGCTTACATGCAGACTGCTACTCGTACACATTAGCTCACACATAAGCAGAGGGTGGACAATCGTTGTCCTCGAATCGGCGGAAAACTGATTCCAACCCCATGACAACTTGACTACGTTAGCTGTATGACATGAATAGCTCGCAGTATGTGCTGCAAAGAGTCGTACTGGTCCCCGCACTATAATTGCTTCACCAGCAATGACATCAAACATAGGAACATGCATAACCACTAATCAAATCCAGCATAATGCTATGGGCTTCCTCTAAGATACCACTAGTTAGCGCCTCCACTCCGTCGATGTCATCCTCAGGCTAGTCAAATCCTTCTCCACTGCTCTGCCCCCTGCTCCGGGCTGGACGGACAGCTTTATCCCATGCGGGAAGCTCCAGTAGGAGCAGGCCCGTAGCCGGGTGCGGTGAGTGTCAGGGGGCTTGGTCGCCTGTCCATCGTACGGGTTCAACACCGACGACTCACTAGAGTGTCCGCTCAGACCAATCTCTCCCCCTAATTCCAAGTATCCTTTCCATCTCTGAAACGGTTACGTCAGACTGAAGAGCCTAACTCAACGAAACAAACAAACAAAGGTAGCTAGCAGGAAGTGTCACTGTTTACAGCTTCATCAGCTTTTCTCCTGAACAGTGTCACGATGATCACGATGCATGAGACCCAATCATGCCTTGCCTCATGCTGCTTTCACTGGAGTTGAAACGAAAGTGCTGAAGGCAAAGCCACACTGCATCAACAATGCCTGCATTGATGTCCGTGAGACGATGCGGCGTCAGTCGGGGGCCATCAGACTCTGGATGAAGGCGCCCCAGCTCTCAGTCTCAGAGAGGGACAGGCTCGACTCAAATCGGTTCCTGCCTCGCTTCAGAGCCATAAAGTCGCCACTTCCGGGTTGTGGTAGGTTTATGTAGATAGGATCGCTCCCTGCCGGTTCTGCGCCTGTGAGAGTCGATCCCTCTTCAGTGTCACTCACAGACCGGGCAGAGTTGCTGCCAAAGCTGCTTCCCGGGACGGCGAACCGCTCATTCAACACGCTGATAAGTCCCTGGCTGAAGTCGCAGTCGCAGTCAACTTCCACACCACCGGCTGCCTCAGCCCCGCCCTCGGCGCCACCCACTTCTTCATGTTGCAGCATCTGGACATCAGCTTCAATCGCCTCCTCTCTCGCCGCGGCGGCCATGATTTCATCCGATTCCATCGTTTCGCTTCTTGAAAGTTGTCCCTCGCCGTATCCGGACGAGGCAGGCGTACTGCTGTTGTTCGAGCTGATGTCCTCACTTGCCGCGCTGGCGGCGGCTCCCTGGCTGCCGTTAGCACGCTCTGAAACCTGCTGGCCAGGCGATGGTGGAGCCGTCTCTTCCACAGAAGGTGTGGAGGATGAGGGCCTGGATTGCCGCCCAGAAATCCCCAACCGGTTGTAGCCAGAAATTAACGTCATGAGGTCCACGCAGACCTGTTCTCGAGCCATGTAGAAGACGAACTTCCGATTGTGATGGCACGATCGCTTGATAATGAACTTGTGGCCATCGAAGTTGATGGTCTGCATGTTTGGCCAGGACAGCCATATTTTCGGCGTCAGTTTGACCTCGTAGACGCCGACTCCGTGGGCAGTGACCCCGAGCCAGACGTTGTCGCCGCGCTCCGTGGTCACATCGAAGTACGTCACGCCGTACCCGTCCAGCCCCTGCGCCAGCTGAAAGTACTTGGTCAGCGCCTCGCGTTGTGAGGTCCCGGTCAGCCTTCTGTGCAGGCACGCCACCTTCATCTGCCAGGCGGCGTGCGCCTCGCCGGTCAGCGAGCACCGGTGTTCCTGCGGCCCGACGACGGTGGGCGGTTGGACGCTGTCCTGGTAGTGCGTGTGGCGGCAGTGGTCGCTGTAGTCGCCGAACTGCACCTGGGCGGCATAGGCGGCCAGCTGGGCGGCCGTGCTGAATGGACAGGCCAGCTCGCCGCTCCCGATGGCCGCCTGCAGCTGTCGGAAGAGCAGCGCCAGCGCCTGCTCGTCGGTCACGTGAGCCGGCACGTCGCTCGGCCAGAAGCGCACCATGAACCGAAAGTGCAGCGGCGACTCCTTGCGAAAACGGCGGCCGCCTAGGATCTCGCTGGCGCGTAGCCACGTGCGCGTGCCTTTGCGGTCGAGGAACTGCAGCCCAAACAGATGCCTCATGCTCAGCCCCAATAGGCCGACCACTTTGTTGAATAGCTGCTGGCCAGTGGCCTTCCGCTTTAGCACGAAGCTGAGCGGAATGGAGTAGGTCTCCACCAGCACTTCCAGCTGCGCCATGGCGAGGCGCTGGGGGTCGGAGGCCAGACTCGGCGTCACGAGGTTCAACACCAGGCGACAGGACACGGTATTCAACACCAGGCGACAACTGGCACTGTCTTCAACACCAGGCGACAGGGCACGGGGTTCAACACCAGGTGACAACTGGCACTGTCTTCAACACCAGGCGACAGGGCAGCTGGCGGGGCCGGGGGCAGCACACGGCCACCGGGACCGTGTTTGGTCGCGCGCTGACTGCCACTGGGGTCCACTCCGGGCGGCCAAATCGGACACGGTGAGCTTAGATAGTGCCGCGCGCGATAAGGAGCTGACGTTCATGGGCGGATAGAGCGATGTGCGGACCCAGGCCACCCAGCCGGGGTTGGAGATGGGGAGGGGGAGGGGGGACGCTATAATTGTAACAGCTTTCAAATTTTCTCCCTGTATCGGTTGAGATAGTCTTGTTACTGATGCTATGACCCATCACTTGCACGCACCGCATTTAGCCAGATCCGCCAGTGGGCAGCAGGGTGGCCCAATCAGTAGTGACTGCAGAGATAGTGGAGTAGTACTGCTGAAACCGCCTCTGAGTTCCTTATCATAAAACGAGCTGTGTGTGCTTCACTAGCATCCATGATTCATCTAGTAGATAGCTTCGAATCACAGTCCTAGTTATTCACGTATCTACGGGCTCGCTTTGCGTACTCTGAGGCATGCTATGGTATGTTTTGATGCACATTGCCAAAACAATATATTATCTTCAAAATTATTATCTCCTCTTCGCATATAATGGCTGACTTATCATTATATTTTTGTTTTGTTTTATACGAAGTTCACAACAGGCGATTGCTTTACTTGACATCAGAACTTAATCCGACGCATCTTTTGGCCTCACTGCGTGCGTGCTGCCAGAGGCACAAACGGCTTTTTCACATCGACCATCTGGTACACATTTGGTTGACATTTGGTGTACTGTTGGTGTAAATTTGGTCAAAATAGTTTTTTGGTGCTTCTTAGAAAAGTTGTCAGCTTGGGATGCGCAATTGCTTATCACCGAGCGAGCAAAGCGAGCGTAGTCTTTCGTAGATTAACGGAAATTTCTGAGTATGAGCGGCCGGCCGGCCGGCCGTGGTCACGCTTTTGTGAAGCTTATATCTCCGCAACCACTTGACCGATTTACTTGTGGTACTGGGTAGCTTCATTCCTTTTACCGAGTATTGAACTATTTTCAATACGTGTGGGTGACCCCTATACACGTGCCACTTGCAAAACGAAGAGGTGTCAGTTTCGTACCAATTGCAATATCTCGGTAACTACTGGGCCGATCGCGCTGAAAGTTGGCATGTATGTAGGCACCCACTAGGCCACTAGGCATTCCAGGTCTCGAGAATGGGTGAACCGATTGCGCTGAGATTTGGTACATGGTTAGGGACTGGTTAGTAGGGTGCCGTGCAATAGTCAGTTGGGACCCAGTTGGCACGTGCGCACGTGCAGGGTGTCGTTTCCAGATCTTGAGAACGGCTAGGTCGATTGCGGTCAAATTTGGCACATCGCTAGAGGCCGGTTAGTAGGGTGCTGTGCAGAAGTCAGCTGGGGGATAAGTACCCTGGCTCACCCTGTCACCCACCCAGGCTCACCCTGTCGCTCACCCTGTCGCTCACCCTGGCTCACCCTGTCGCTCGCTCCGTCGCGCTGGTCGCCCGAAAAGGCGTTTTACTGGTAATTTATTAGCAGATTTTAACACTGAGAAGTTCATGAAATGAAGACACTTGTTGTAAAAGATATTTCGTGCAGATTTAGTCAAGCGAAAATTATTATTAGCTCACACATAAATATACTTACGGGCTGGGATAAGAGCTGTCCTGCCAAATCGACGGAACACTTATTCCAGCCCTTTGCTATCTCGATAACGTTTATTGCATGGCTTGAAAGTCTCGCATTACCTATTTGTTGCCAAGAGTCGTTTTGCTTTTTATTCTAATAGAGACTACCAAAGGAAGCCATATACGATTTAATAGCGACACCCTCGCAACTCGTAAGGAAGTTTCCCATTTACTCGCGCATGACTGGGGTATCTTTATTCTAAAACGCGAGTGGCTTTTCTACACAGCCTCTCTTCTATCTCCGAAGCTACTGGTCCAATTTCCAAAATAAAGCATCGCTATCACTTTGCTTTCAGCGTGGACCAAATGCTTCTTGCTACGATTGGGATATAATTATCAAGATTTGGAAAAGTTTTTCACTTGATCAGAATGAGGACAGCCCCTGTGAATGCTTGGACCGTTCCGTCGTTCCCATCCTCAGGAAAGTCGAATCCTTTTCCTCCACGCCACAGCCCCCAGCTCGGGGCTGGACAGGCAACTGTATCCCATGCGGGAAGCTCCCATAGGAGCACGCCCGTAGTCGGGTGCAGTGAGTGTTATTGGGGCTGGGTGGCCCGTCTACTGGATGGGCTCAGCCCCGACGGCGACGACTCACCAGGGTAGCCGACCAGGCCAATGTCCCTCCCAACTCCTAACGTCCCTCCGACCCTGAAATGGGCTCGTCAGACCGAAACTTACCCAATGAAACAAAACAAGTGTGACCGCTGCGGTCCCACCACCATACTCTCCAGAGTGCCGTGAACGCTGTCTCCGAGGCTCAATTTGGCGCCGACTCACCCCGCTCGGTGACAAATGATGTGTCAGAACTCAGACAGCACTCGGCCGACAGCGTCGGGCCGCCAGCCGCCGGCTGGTTCACACTCTGCTCGGTAGATGTCAGCAGAGCGCCTTCCAGCCGCCCGGCCGCTGCCAGGACGACTGCCAGGCCGGCCAGCTCGGCCCCTGATTGGTCCCCGACTGGCTCTCCAGCCAATCAGAGGGCGGAGCCGAGTCGACGGGGCGGGCCCGGGGCGGACTCGACCCTCCCATGCAAACACGCCAGATTATTGGTGTGCGGGCGGTCAGGCGGAGTGGTGCGCAATTATCAAACACCTGTAATTAGGCCCGAGACGGGGATTATCTGTGACAAATTTCCGGCGATATCTGGTGAGAAGATGCTCACGGATCTCAACATCGGCAGAGGCGATATCTACAGCCACACCCAGGGCCTGGACAAAGCCATGGTGAGTGGCCGGAGCGCGATCTCCTCTTTGTTCCCAGCGCAGTGATCGGTGCTTATTATGCGTAATGGATAGCCGGTAACACATGTATGTAAGTAGTAAGTACCTATAATATGACAGATTACGGTGTGTTTCAAGTCCTTCCAGTGTATTATTATTAATTTATTATTGTTCTTGTTTTAAACACGAGTGGCTCTGCAATGAAGGCCTGGCCCGCCGTGATCGGCATTAGCGGCCTTTTCTATTTATGGGCGCCACCAGAACTTTTGGCATTCAGCAATGAAACAAGTTAGGGGAAGGTGGGGCGAACCGCAAATCCCTAAGCTCTCGTGCATATCAGGAGAAACCAAATACCTGTAGCACTAACCTTGCTGTCTTAAGTTAAGACTATTTTCAGAAAATTTCATCAAATACTAGAACATAAATTAAGCGAAATTTTAAATCGTTATAATTTTAGGGACAATTAAAAAAGCTAGCATTTTCAGGGGTAACACCGCCCACGCTGTAATGGTGCCCACTCCGATATCACATCTATTTATATGAAAACAGCTCGTTATGTCGATGCTGATTTTAATTCAAGTGTGAATGCTGAGCGACATCAGTGCATTACAGATATTATTAAAACGAAATAGCCAAAATTTTCGTATAAGAAAACAAGTAACCGTACTTGGCTCTATGAATTCCCTTTAACAGCGTACTTACCTTATATTCCTGAGTTACGCTTAGTTTCCTCCACAATGACAACTTCAAGCAGCGTTTGCGTCTACTGGCAGTGCACAATAAGTATACCAGGCGTTGGCGATTCAAATGTGGCTTTGCACAGCCGTTTCTCCGATATTTTTATTAGTAGCCACTAGCCGGCCTCATAAGCGCAGACTGAACTGCATCAAGAGAGCTTTATTTCTCCGGATATGCATGTTTGATGTTCCAGCCTGGTATTGATCAGATAAAGAGTTCTGATGTGTCCTGGCCTGGTCGGCTATGGTATCCCTATTACTCGTGACATCGTGTCCAGTGTCGTTTCTTGGAGCGGTCACCAGTTTGACACTCTTTTCTGTTGGCTTGTCTCCATTACAATTACTGGAATGAGCTTTGGTTTGCACATTCAGGTCCTTTGTTGTTGTTTTTTAAAGCGCGTTTCCATTTAGCCTCGTTTTGACTTATTTCGATCACATCTCACCAAACACATCTCATCGTGTGCTTACCCATTATTTCCCACCGTCTCATCTCACCCGTTCCCAATCAGCTCATTCACCCTCCCTGCCCGTTCCGCTGGCTTTGTTGCGGTGTTTACCGTCGCTCTTGAGCCGCGCTCCGCACTGAGCCTATGTCAACAGTTATGACACGCCGCCCGCGAGTCCCGGCGCCCGGGCGCCCGCGCTCGGGGCGCCGCGCTCGTGCGCCGGGCCCGTCGGCTTTGTCGGCCACCAGCCGTGGAGATCAAACGGCGGGGCGCCGGCGCGCGGGCCGAGGAGGGTATGGGGGCGCCGCGGACAGCGGTAATGGGGCATCGGCAGCGGTCACGGTCGTTACAGCTCCGGCCAGGTTAGTTTGTGGACCGGGTGTGACATGTAGGTGGAATAAAATGGTTAATTTGTGGACCGGGTGTGATATGTAGGTGGAATGGTTAGTTTGTGGACCGATACCGACATGGGTGAAATGGTTAGTTTGTAGACCAATAGGCTGGCAAAACTTTCGATTCATTTTAACATAAAGAATGCTTGATATTCCAGCATGAAAAGTTTGTAAAGCTATAACTGCCTTCCAGTCTCGTAAACGACTAAATGACATAAATGACATTTATCATGACGTTTTGAATTACCTACGACTGGAATGCTGTTATGACAGAAACAAACAAAAATTGTTTCAATGGGTTTAATTTTGTTGTTGTTCAAGGAGCCAGTAGTTGCTAGGTGAACAACTTGTCCAAAGGCCGACCGGAAACGAATCCAACTGAGGAACGTTTACGCACCCTGCGCCGTGCAGTGTGTGTGGTCCTTTTCCGAGGTAACCGTTTTTGTCCCAATCGCTCACATTTGGTCGAAGACTGCGAAATTACCAGATCAGGTGGCGATATCGGCAATTTGCACGTGTTCGGCGCCGCGCCGTCCCTGTTCTGCGATGGTACGCGATGTCGGCGGCTCCCGTGCGCGGCTCGCCCGCGCACCGGGCCCGATATGCGCGCTCTGCGTGCGATGTTTTATTCAGGGCGCTCATTTAGCGTGTGGGCTGGCCTGGAAGCTGCACGGGGCCCGTGTCGGACACGGGCGACGCGTGCGGCGGACCGCGGTCACACCTGATAGCATCCCGGTTAAACTAGATACCATCGGCAGTCGGGCCGAGCCGGGGCGGCGCACGTGCAGCCGCTCACGAGCAGCCTCGCGGCGCCGCTGACATGGCCTTCCCTGGGATCAGCGATTATCGGAGGAAGTATCTGGATTCTGGAAGCTATGAACCATTCTGTGAGTTAGTTTGGAATATATTTCTAGAGGGAACGTCTCCAAGTGCGTCTGAAGCGGTAGGACCATCCTGAAGGTGATGATATCCGAAGTCCGAACCCACGCCGTGGTCAAACGTCACTCCGATCACACACCTCACACCGTGTCCTCTGGCCGCCGGTCGCTCCGTTACGGCCCCTCTGTGTGGCGGCTATCGTGGCGCGTCGGCGGCTATCGTGGCGCGTCGGCGGCGACCGTGGCGCCTCGGCGGCGTCCGCGCCGCATTGAGCAGCCGTCAGTGAGTCTGAGCGGCCGTGACAGCTCCAAAGCGGCGCTCTGACGCCGCCAACAGGCGCGTCACTGCCAGTTGGCGGCGGCCGAGCGTGGCGAAATTTGTCCCACAGATAAAGCCGGACTCACAAAGGCACCGGGCTGGGGGCGCCGGGTCGACTGGGGAGGGACGGGTGGTGGGCGGACCTCTAGGAGTCAGTCAGGGGCTGATCCGGGATTGTCCGCACGGGAAAAGGTGATGTGATGATTGAGGAGGTCGCTCACCATCTCGCCTGAACTGATTGTGGAAGGGGGAGGGACGTCTAGGAAAAACGACTTGATGATAGTAGGAATATCTACGCTTCCGTCACCATAACACTCGGTAACAAGTCACTTACATCGCGCTCCTCGCGCCTGTCTCCCTCCCTCGTGTGCTCCTCTGCTCTGGCCTGCGGTCTCAATTTATCACCCTCCCCACTCCTCATGTTTTCCGTCACCGGCGACTTCTCCCCGTCTGACGCGAGCTACCCAAACCTCAGCTCAGCCGTCGCGGCGAGGTGCGCCGCGTTGGCCACATTCCGGACACCTTTCTCGCCTTCTGGCTGCGCGGCCTGGCCACGCGGCACGCGCCGATGACGGGATCGTTAGCTCGTTAACATACCGTGCCGGGTGCGCGCGCCGCGGGGTGGCCGCCGGTCCTGTCGTCGCTTCCGACGGCGCTAACGAGAGATGCGTTTTTTTGTCGCGACGAGGCGCTGTGTACACGCGCTGGAGCCGCTCGTGCGTGGACGGCGTGTCGTGATGGGACCGGTGTCGGTTCCGGTCGGCCGGGGATGAACGCACACTGTCGACGGAGGTGGAAGTCTGAAATAGCTGAAAACGTCCAGGGGCTATGGAATGAGCTCCGATGGGGTGCAGGTAGGTTTTGGTGGCGCAGATGAGAATGCAAAGGCCTGGTATGAGGCCTGCAAAGCTTCATAGCGGAAGGCCTGGAGCAGGGCTGATTTCAGACTGCTCGCAGAAGGAGATCTACGTGTACCTACTTAGTCGGGCGACACAAGGTGTATCTGCGCTGCTCCTGGGCTATCCGCTGCTACTGCTGCACCTTGTTATCACTGGTTTGACTGGTCATCGTCCGGTCATCTGCGGACGGAGTATGCGTGTCACGTCACGGTCGCCATGGCAACACGTGTACTCGGCTCACGCCATCCAGCCATCATAGCCGAACACGTGCGATGAACACTGCTCTCTGAGCTGCATTTATGAGTGACTTTCAGCCCGGAAGGCCCATCCAAGGAGCGTCGATTGGACCCGTCACCCGGGGTTGTCTGTACCTTCTTGACGACTGGATGTGCGCAACTACATAGCATACGCATGAACAGATGAAGGTGCTCCCGCCTACTTGAATGGCTGGAGAAAGCTATAAAGGGTAGATACTGTTGGTTCGGTTAATGGTTATGAGGTCATGTGGTGGCCTTTTGTGGTTATGTAGACACTCCTCTAGCAATGAAGGATGAGGTGCCAGTTTCGAATCGATGCTGGTATCCGTTGTGTTATTTTGATCTAGAAAAGTAGCCTCGCGAAGAGCAGCTACAGCCCAAATCTATGCAAAGGATAAGCCCACCGCCACGCAGTCGACGGCCTATCCTTTGGGCCAGTCAGTCAGTCAGTACATAAATACCGCTGACCACAGATGATCGAAACACGCACCTTCTTATAATCTGCACGGAATGCTCGTATCCGGGGAATGTTCTTGCATGGGAATCACCAACCATTACCATCCATATTCATAAACAGCTGAAGGGGGTAATAATGACCGTAATGACCTCGTTACCATTACATATAATTGCCGATCGCCACACTATTTCACGTAAATGGCCCCATGAACTTTTTCAGCACCTCATTCGTCGAAGTGCTGGTATTTTGCGCAGACCAAAGCCCTCCATTATTTTGACCGTTCGCGGCGTTCGGCTCAGTTACGATCTCAAGGTCGCTTTTTGTGTACCCTTTTGGCTGGTGTTTCGGCGATTTCGGGAGTTTAATGGAGAAACTCAACAAGGGCTGCGCCAAGCATGGATAGCATGTGTAGCTGTCATTTCTTTCCAGTTGATGGCTCCATGAATGACCAGCGCTGCCTTACCATAATATCTCATAAACCTCAACGAGCAACCAATGCGGTATTCCATAGCTGGGCACGCAAACTGGTAGCTAAGTAGGATATTTTCATCCAGTTAACCATTTTCAGGACACCAGGAAATCTTCATTTTTGATTCCAATCCAACTGACCTACTTGCT